AGGACCACCTCAGGGACTCAGATATCAGAACCGGCTCTCCACCAGCTTTTCCCCAGGTGAGACCAAAGAGAAATTCCACAAGCCTCCCTACTTGCCAGATACAGATGCAAAGTCTTTCCCTTCTTAAAGCACTCCATTCTCATTATTCTCAGACAGCTTTAGTTAGCAAAAGGAATATGGGGAATACAAAGAGGGGGACCCAAAGTTCCTGAGTGAGTTCCTTCATCACTGGGGGAAAAAGACAAAACTAAAGTTAAATAAAATTTGGGGTTGGCGTGAAGGGTCAGTCAATTAAGTTTTTGTTATACAAATATGATAACCTGAGTCTGGGTTCCCACCACCAACATAAAAGCCAAGCATGATGACACACATGTGTGATCCAAGAACCAGGGAGACAAAAGTGGGGGTGGTGATGTTGTTATGTGTTGTGTGTGGTCCCTGAGGCTTGCTGGCCAGTCAGTCTAGCTTAGTGTGAGAAACTGTCTCAAAAATACAAAGGTGGTAGGGTGGGATGGAGAGATGGCTCAGTGGTTTATAGCACTAACTGGTACTCTTGCATAGGACCCAGGTTCGATTCCCAGCTTCTACATGCAGTTAACCCCTGTAACTCCAGGTCCAGGAGATCCAGCACCCTCTTCTGGCCTTCTTCAGCACTGCACTCATGTGGTGCACACACATAACATGCAGACAAGGCACCCACATACAGAAACAGAAAATCTTAAAAAAGGACACCATTTTTTTTTTTCATTTAAAGAAAAATGTGAGCCAGGCGGTGGTGGCGCACACCTTTAGTCCCAGCACTTGGGAGGCAGAGGCAGGTGGATTTCTGAATTTGAGGCCAGCCTGGTCTACAGAGTGAGTTCTAGGACAGCCAGGGCTATACAGAGAAACCCTGTCTCAAAAAAACCAAAAAAAAAAACCAAAAAAAAAAAAAAGAAAAAAAAAAGAAAAATCTGAGTAAAGGAAATGAAACAGAAGGAAAAGGAGGAGGAAGATGAGGAGAAATAACAGTAATATGCTGAGTGTAGGCTCAGTACTCAGGACACCAAAGGAGAAAGATCCTGAGGTCAAGACCAGCCAGGGCTACCAAGTAAGACCCTGTCTCAAAAAAATCAAAGCAAAGAAACTAAAAGAAACACATCCCCTTTATCATGACTTCGTATAAGGAAAGCAGTTGGCTTCTCGGGTGGGGTCAGGATACTGGAAAACCAGCACAGCCTCCAAAGGGAGCCTGCCTCTCAGTCCTGCTGACCTGTCGCTTCACAGGGACCCTTACCTACTGATGGCTCTGTGTGTGCTGTGCTGGAATACTTGCTTGAAACCTTGGGCTTCATCCACAGCACTCGGGTGGCAGGGAAAGGACTAAATGCTGGCAAAGGTTTCAGAGTTGCCCTCACAGGCTGGCTCCTGAGGTAGCAGGGGTGGGGACAGTTGTAGGTTACTCAGGGTCTGACTATAGAAGTGTGAGATTACCCCCCTCTTTCTCCACACTTCCTTCAGTGGTAGATATCTCAGCCCAGCCTAGGGTGATGGAATCCTGTGGGCAGCCAGCTGACCAGCCTCTCCATACTCTACCTCTCCTGCAATCTAGATCCAGTCAATCTCTCTCTGCTAGGAGATCCACTGGCTGTCCACGTGCTGTACGCTCAGAACACCCCCACGCCTGCCTCACCGGCAGCTTGCTCTCTCAGGACACTGTCCATCCTGTGTGACACCTGACTTTCAGGCCCAAATCCCTGATATCATCCTAGCGCCTTTCCCTCACACATCTAACCCTAACTGTCATCTCGGCCTTGGAAATCAATCCTTTATCATCTTCTCTTTGTTTACACAATTCAGTCATTGGGTAGGATCTACACAACAGCCAGATGGACTGAGGCTGTTGAGTCTCACACAGGACTCTACATAACACCTCACATCACATTCAGAGCCAAGGTGACGCACAGTCTCAGAGTTGCTCAACACATATTGCCTGGTGAACGAATTTCACTGTTTTAGTGTCACAGTTTATAAACAAATAGTACCAAAGAAGCAATTAAACATGCAAAAGATGTTTAAAACTAGTGAAAGACAGTCTCATCTCCCCAGAATCCCTCTTTCTTGCAAGTGGGCAGAAGTCAGCTATACATCTGACCCTGTCTCCTGGATTCGCAAGCAACCCCATCAGACCCAGCATCAGCTGGTACTGAAGTGGGTATGAACAATTTGGGCAAGAATCTGAGTAGATATTTAGGTTTCATGAGACCTATCTGTGGGGCATGCAGGCATAGCTGTCTGTAAATTATTATTAGCTAGTCTATAAAGGGACAGCTCTCAGAAGTGTTCTTCCTGTCCACCATACCATTTGGCTTGTCCGGCTGCCATCAGCACTCGATATAGAGAAAGGAATATACCTGTAAGGGACAGTTGGTATGAGAAAGGTACTGATAGGCTAGGAGAGAGGTTTGAAATGCATGCAGCTGGAATCAAAGCCTGCTCAACAGTCTTCATGTTACAAGGAATATACAAAACATATGCAGCATTAAAGGAAATGTAAAGCTCTTAGCCGATGACAACGGTAAAAATTTTAATTGTAGTAGCACAATTCTTCTAAACTATCAAAAATAAACTTCAGTTTTGCAATAGGAAAAACTGTTTACCTTTCTATTCTCTCATGGGCAACACTACAACAAACCAGCATTATGCTGTACAGCTATAATCCCAGTACTTGGGAGGAAGAGTCAAGGGGGTCATGAGGCCAACCTGGGCTAAATATGGAGGACTAAAGGTGTAGCTCTGTGGTAGAGCATGTGCTAGAGGCCCTGGCTGGGGTCCCCTGCAAAACACACACACACACACACACACACACACACACACACACACACACACAGAGGCATGTGGGCAGGACTTCTGAAGGGCAGGGATGACTCCAGCAGGCTGAGGATAAAGGGATAGGGTTAAAAAGAAGGTAAGGTGGGAGAACAGGGGGATTGCAAGGCAAGGAGGCATCCCTGAAACAGGAAGCTCTCTCAGGATGGAGCAAAGAAAACTTGGGAGCAGATAGTACGATCTGAGGACACTGGGCATATATATCTTGGGAGCTCCCTGACCTTTTAGCAGTCAGCACCCAGAGCCTCAACTGGTAATTGTGAGCAGCCCACAAAGAAATAGTGGAGCATTGGCACAGGTGGAGCCTGTGGCTAAGGAGGACCCAGAGAGGCCACTCACGGTCACAGGGTCACACGTTATGCGAGCTGCCTTGCTAAAGGCTGTTTTGTCCAGTCAGGACCGGATTACTACAGATCATCATCATTTAAAGAATCTTTCCCTCTTCTCACAGGTTACCATGACCTTGTGCGCCTTTGCTGTCTCTCAGCCTTTCCCTCACTCAATGCCAGGCAGGCAGGAAGCTGCATAATTCTCTAGAGGGAGCCTAGAGTCCTGAGCTTCCTGACCAGACTCCTAATGTCAGAATCTTTATTTGACTGCCTCTTTTTTTTTTTTTTTGAAGCTTTTTTGTTGTTGGGAAATTGCAAAAACAATCTCTTTAAGTTATAATTTAGAAAATCCTTAGGAACTGTGCCTGTGGCACCTCAAGCTTCCAATGAGTGTCATGAGTGTCACTGAATACTAAAAATCACTTGAGCCTCTATTTCTTTAAAGATTTAAATCTGAGAGGCCACAGGACCTGTAACTTCACTCACCAGATTTTTTACATAGAAGTGCCTGAGTCCTAAATGTGCTTTTCAAAGTCACCAGGAGGAAAAAAAAAACAAAACACCAACAAAACATTGTAGTGGAACCTTAAAGTTTCTGCATACACTAACAAAGCTCTCTAGAAGGATGCTCCTGAAGTGCAGAGATGGCAAAGAGGGCTGTCAGTTCTGGCTTACAGAGGATCTACTTTCAAGGAAGACTGTCTGCCCTGAGCTACAAGAAAGCTGTCAGAGAATGGCCTTTTTACTGCATATTGCACAGGGTAGTTTCAAAGCATTGATTCTTCTGCTTTTTCCTGTGTTGGAGATGTGCACGTCTTCATGCATGCTAGCTACCACTATACCACTGGGCTCCATCGCCAGCACCGTGACAACATTTTTTTTAAATACAGGCATTCCTTTATAGTCTTTTCAGATACACTTGAATATAATGCTTTTTGGATATAAGCCTTTCTGCCCACAGCACTACTCCTGCCCCCCCCTCCCCCCAAGTCAGCAGAGCACAGCCACATGTTCTAAGGAGCAGAGCACGGAACAAGCCCTCACTTAAACGGGGCCTGCTCTGACGTCTTAGGGACCGCTGCACGGTCACTCCACCAATACTGTAAATTGGGCGCTGCTTTAAAGACTGAGGAATAGTTAGAGAGCGAACACAAAAATGAAAGAGAAAAAAAAAAAAAAAAAACAGAGGCGCCACAGTTAGTTTTCAAACCCAGTCTGGTTTTTTTCAGCTTTGCGCTGGTTTCCATCCTTCCGGCAGTCTAACGAGTTCCTCCTGAACTCGGGTCTGTGCCAGTCACTCCCTGGAGGCTGTCTCAGGCTGTGAGCCTAGGCTGTCTGGGCTCAGGATGCCGGGAGAAGGACAAATCAGCTGCAACCCAGCCAGAGCTCCACGCGCCTGGGGTTGAAACAGGGAAGCACCCACAACTTGGCTGCAGGATTGATCCTTAAAAAAAGAAACTGCGGTATTCTAGCCTCGCAGGGTCGTTTGTGTTCCAGGTGACTCAAACGCCAAGGTCAAGTACCCAGCGCTTGACCATTCCATCGCCCAATGAGGAGTGGGTCCCTCATGCTTTTCCGATGGCTGCGCCCTTCTCCCCGTGGTGCTGACCCCCATGCTCCCCATGCAAGCCTCCTCCCGCCGGTGTGTGTGTGAAGGGCCAGAGAAAGGTGAGCCCAGAAACAACACAGGCCCTGTCCTTGCAACTCACTCCGCTCCCGCCCACGTGCCCGCAGCACGTCCACGCCGCCCATCTCGGGTGTTTCTTGGAGCTCTGATAGGCTGGACGCTGCCACCGCACTCACTTGTCCCGCACGCAGCGCCAACTGCACCGCCACCTCGAAGCACTCGTCCCAGGGGCCCACGCCCTGCACCAACTCCTCCTCTTCCTCGCTGCTCGGCTTCATCGTGGCTTCGCCGGGCCCCGCCACCTTCTGTTCTGTTCCGCGTGCTGCGGCCGGACCCCGGCTCCCACTCGTGACCACCGCCAGCACCGGAGGCTCCGCACGGTCCCCTCGCCTTCCCGCCAAGCCGTGCGTCCTCCAGCGCGCCTTGCAGCAGGAAGGCCCGCAAGGGGCTGCAGCCCAAGTAGGCGCGCCTCGCGCCCCGCCCCGCCCCCGTCTCCCAATTCAAGCCCTTGCCCCGCCTCCCTCCCCTGACCACGCCCTTCAGCATTAGCCCCGCCTTCCACAACAGGCCCCGCCCTGCGCTCTTTATCCCACCCCCACTGCCTTCCTAACACAGGCTCCGCCCCATCTCTCGCCCAGTACAGCGCTCGCCCCGCCCTCTCCCCGCCCCTACTTCACGCCCCGCCTCGCCTCCCCTCATTTCCATGCTCGCCCCGCCCAGCCACGCGCCAATCCAGGCGCACTTTCCAGCCTGTCCTGGCCAGGTGGCTATTGGGAAGGCAAGGTGGGCACTTCCAGCCCTTGGTGGCTGGTGATGGGCGGGCCTCGGAACTCATTCCTTCGGGCTTGTAGAACTGCCGCGTCCCCAGGTGTGAGGTGGGTGGGACCTGCAAGCCAAGCCACAGGACCATCACTGGGTTTTGTAAACTGTCTAAACTCAAAACTGGTTTGGAGTACTAGCTATGACTGTGATTAGAATTTCTATAGGGAGGAGTGACCTTTTTAACCTTGAAAACTGTCCCACGCCTATTGTGAAAATGCAAATACTAGAAAGGCTTTTCCCGCGTGTTCAAGAGTTTAACTTCATGAGTCCCTCTATTCACCGCTTTTATAATAATCAGCCCATATAAAATTATTCTGGAGTGTCACTTCTCATTCTGAGAGGACTTTTGTGTAAAAACTTTGACAGGACTTTTTTTTTTTTTCTAAGTTAACCTAAAGATGGAAGTAAGCCCTTTTAGCTAGGGTCAGCTATAAGGACTCTGTTTCACCTGCCTCATCCTATAACACAGAAAGGGGGACCACGGATCGCTGAGATCAGTATATGGCCGCTAAAGGCATTTTCTCCTCCATCTTTTTGATTTTTCTTTCATAATATTCAAGATAAGAATGTTGAACTACTGAAAACGCTTGAAACTGCTCTTACTGTTTCTTTTACAAACGAACCGTGAGGCAAGTGACTTGGCTCCGAAGGTGTTTCCAGTATAACCCGATAAGCTGAGCTCCATCCTTGGGATACAGGGAGGGAGGAGAGAACCCACCCTGAAAATTGTCCTCTGACCGCATGCTCAGGGGTGTGCCATGTACACAGGTGTGTACAGAAATAAGTATGTGTAATTTTAAAAATTGAATAAAAAATGAGGACATGACCACCCCGAAGTATGGTTGAGGAGGTTTATTGTAAAAATGAGGGAGAGCATAGCCAGACATCTAAAAGAATCCAGACTGAACGAGGCGGGCAGACTGAACCAGGACTTGGTGAGGGTGGGAGTGAGAGCAATGGGCTCCCAGAAGAGCCAGCCAGGAGCAAAAAGAAGCAGGGGGCATGTAGCCAAAATGACTGAGCTGTATAGGGAAGAGAAGCTGGGGGAGGGGAAACAGAAGCCCAGCCCCTGGGAGGGAGAGGTTTAGGGTAGGTGGTGGGGTGAGGAGTGCTGGTTTGGAGTCAGAGGTACTTAGTGAGACTTGTCCCAGGTTTATTTGAAAACTTACAAAAATCTAAAAAGTGGTAGGTCTTGAATTGCTATTTGTTATTGGAGATTAAAACAAGGGATAAGATTTGACTTTGGCTCTTTCTAGCCCCCCTTCCCCACCCCATCCACACTATGGTTCAATCTGGAAGCTCAATTATAACAGTATAAAATTTTTATTATAGATATTAACCCACCTGCAGAAAATATTGATAACGTCTTCATCTAACTGACCAAAAAAAAAAAAAATCTCCTAAGGTATAATAGTGTGTTTTTGACAGGTATAAAGATTGCAGCCAGCCAGGTCTCTCTTTTTTCTTACCTCCATTCAAACACAGAATGGTCTCTGTGACTATGATTTGAGGTAGTGGCCGAGCTCATGCTTAGCCTGTGATCGGTGCTAGATTCTGTCCTCAGCACCAAGTCCAAAAAAAAAAAAAAAAAAGATATTCATTTATACATAGCCTCAAGAGACTAACATGCTGTGTGCCATATAATTGATATTTAATAAATCTAAGTTACATGCCTTGAATGCTTGAGGCCCTACGTTCAATCCCTGGCATTACAAAAGTTAAATAAATTAGTAAATAAATTTGTTACTCACTGAATACTAATATCAGCCTTTTATAACAAATAACATACCTCCTCTGGGCCAGGCATTGGTAGTACATGTCTTTAAGGAGGATCTTGGTGAATTGAGGCCAGCCTGGTCTACAGTACGAGTTCTAGGACAGCCTGGGCTACACAGAGAAACCCTGTCTTGAAAAACTAAAAACCAACCAACCAACCAACCAACCAACAACCAACCAAACAAACAAAAGACCACACCCCTTCCATGTCTAATGACAAGTCTCAGTGGACCTGTGAGAGCTCTCCACATAGCCTGGTTCCCGTTCCTATGTGGCTGCATCCAGAGGCTGGAAGCCTTACTAATGTCAGCAGCCACAAGTGCTTGTCATATGCTCTGGCTTGAAAACCTTTTCAACTTCTCCTTCCTTCGATGTCCCCAGAGCACACCCTCAAACTTCACCTCAAACTCCTGGTGCTTCAGTCACCAGGAGGCCTCATGTAAAGTGCATGGGCGAGAGCCCAAAAGCTGGGGGTGGCTACGTGCAAGGGTTCCCCTTTTGTCCTTTCTGGAGCAGAATAAAGGCCAAAGAAGTAAAATGCTAGGCAAAGGTTTCTTCTATCTGCTTCTCTGACAGATTACATTGAAATTAGATATCTTCCAGGGTTAAATAAATCAAAGAAACTGGCCTGGCCATTCTATTCATTTTTTTAGTTGCTTTCATCTTCTTAACACATACCTAGAAGTGGGCTCTTGGTAATGTCTGACTATTAATAACCTTATGTGTACAAAGCTGCCATCTGGGGCTGAATTGAATGTTGTCTCCCCACACCTGCCCATCTCCCCCACTCCCACCTTTCCACCCCACCCCCTAAATCAGCCAGGCAGTGGTGGCGCTTGCCTTTAAGCCCAGCACTCAGGAGGCAGAGGCAGGCAGATCTTTGAGTTCCAGGCCAGTCTGATCTACAGAGTGAGTTCCAGGACAGCCAGGGCTACACAGGGCATCCTGTCTCATCCTCCCTCTGCCTCCCAGAGTACTGGTATCAATGATGTGCACCACCACCAGCCAGCTGGAAACAGCTTTAAAGAGGTAGTTCACTTGAATTGGAACTAACCAGGTGGGTCTGCAACAGGAACAAATCTTGGAGCCCCTTGGCAGCTCTCCTCTAGAAGAGCCACGAGTTAAATAACTCTCTGGAGGGCTAGTCCATTTCTCACTTATTTCCACTAAAAAACTAGAAGTATTTTTCTTCCGGGGAAAATCTCCCATATTGCTCTCCCCCAAAACACCCAATACAGGAGAAGGCTGATGTGGTCGTCGGTCTCCTTCCTGCTGAGTGTAACCTCATCCAGGATTCTCCCTGAGAACTCAGTACAAAGCTTTCCTGGACTTGTCTTCCATCTTTGCTTTGCCCTGCAGTCAGTTGCTCCTCAGTCTTTGAAATCTATAGATCTTGGGTGCTGTGAGATGACCCTTCAATTATGGTCACACCCACTTTCTATTAAACATGAACTATGAGGCCTGAGTCCTCTAATAACAAGCTGTAATTGTTCTTGGTGACGTTAATAGAAATTAACAATGCTAACATAGCACTTGACACTCTGTGGTCCACAGAGTCTGTTGTATGGCATGTAGTTCTCTCTGTTTCCCCACACTGAAGTTGACTTTCTTGTCTCCCTCCCTTCCTCCTGGCAGGATGGAAACAACCTGCTTGCTCTCAAACAACTCAGACATGTTAGTGGAAAGCAAGAACTCTGTTTTAAAAAAAAGGTAGAAAGTAGATTATTCTGGCTAAATATGAATGACTAGACACAGGAACACAGATTCAAGCTACCCTGTGTGCTGGTTAGTTTTTTGTTTTTTGTTTTTGTTTTTTGTTTTTTTGGAAAATGCCCCACAGGACTGGCCTGCAGGCAAAGCTGTGAAGCTTTCTCTTGATTGATGATTGATGTGCATATTCTCTAGAGGGTTCTCTAGAGCAGTGCTTCTCAAGCTATAGGATGCAACCCCTTTGGGGTCGAACAACCCTTTCACAGGGGTCACCTAAGATCAGTGGAAAGCATAGATATCTACATTAATGACTTACACCAGTAGCAAAATTATAGTTATAAGGTAGCAAACGAGAATAGTTTTATGGTTGGGGGTCACCACAGCATGAGGAACTGTATCAAAGGGCTGCAGCATTAGGAAGGTTGTGATCTATATGACTCTGGTCCCTTCTCCTGCCCGTCGAGCACCTGGGATGCCTGCCACACTCCTTGGGTGGGATATTCTGTTTTGTTCTTCACCCTTTTCTCATGCTGAAGTCCTGTTGATGGAAGCTAGGAACTTGCTTCCTTGGTTTCACAGACAGTCTGGAGACCTAAATATTTCCAGAAGACCTATCTTGCAGTTCAACACCTCTTTGCCTCTTGTAAGGAAGGGCAGGTTGCCTGGTTAGAATCTCACCCCTCAGCTTCTCTGGTTGTGTGATGGTCCTGTATCTACATCTTCTGACTCAGGTCCACTGGAGGAGAGGTCAGGTTGTGTCAGTACATCTCTCTCTGTTATTCCAAAGATGGGAGGAGAAAGACCACTGAACCAAATTATCATGGCCAAATTAATTAAAGCAAGCTTTTTTTTTTTTTTTTTAAATTGGTGCCCATGGGCTGTCCTGTCCTGGGTTTGAGATGCCGAAATTGCATGTAAGGAAGACGACTTTTCTAGAGTTCAGGGGTAGAGGGGTTGACAGGTAAAATAAGCAGGTTCATAGGAACATTATAACAAGTTAGTCCTAAGGACCTCCTGAAACAAAGACATGGCTGCAAGGTGGGCTTGGCAACAGGTAGTCATAATAAGGCAACCATAACAACCCTTTTGAAACAAAGGTAGGGTTGTAAGATGATTATTAACTTTTAAAAACAAAGACATGATTGC